ATATATACTATAAATGCAAAGTATATTACTTTTGGTTTTAAAACCCTAAAATCAGGTTTGATCCTACAATTTAGCTTATTTTTTTTGAAATGTTATTATACCATTGATAAGGTTTTAGAATTCAGTAAAGTAGGCATTTTTAAATGAACAGAACCAAATATTTAGCATTCTAAGTGGGTGGGTGACCACATTCCATTCTCTCCCCTCAGGGTATGCATAAAGGAGTCTCCACCCAGAACAAAGCCCGCCAAAAATCCTTTAAAAGCCTCTGACTCCCATCCCTAGTCACTGGGTGCTAGAGCCACCCAGGCTCAGCCACCTGGTGGGCGAATGATGGAATAAATTCAGAATCCCTCACCAAAAAAAAAAAAAAAAAAAAATGTTTATGAAAGCAAACTTTAATATTGTAGAGGAGGAAAACATTTTTCTCTCCCTGCCTAGGTTCTCTGGCTGGGGCCCTACAAAAGACAGAGCAAACCGAAAAAAAACAGACTTTTATTAACATGTGCATCTCTCTGACACAGGGAAAACTCTGTGATAAGTGACACAACGCAGTGGTTAGAACATGGCATCTTAACAAAAGATCAGTAACTTTTTAGAAAAGTGACTAAGTAAAAGGATTTTGGGTTTCTTGGGCAGCAAATTGTGGGATGGTAAACAGATAGGAGATAAGGGCAGTTTAGTAATGTTGGTTCTGTAGATTCCTCTGGTGCTATCTCTGGGCTCACTGGGGTCAGAATTTAGAGTTTTCTCAGGCGATTAACTTGTGTCCTTCCTGGTAGAGAAAAGAGAGGACACCTTTATAAATTTATGTCCTGCTTTTAGGCAACTAGGTGGAAGGCAGAGAGCTGTCCTCGTATGGGCTTCTTTTCAATTGCCTTCAGCTCAAAAATGATCTTATGCCAAAGTGACATATTTGCAGGTGGCATATTCTGCAACTCTTCAGTATGAAATATGAATTAAAAAAAGGAAGGAGGTGGAGTTGGAAAAAGGAATGTAGGGCATGGACTCTGAAAACCAGAGTAATAATTCCATGTTATGCAGATTGTTGAGCTTTGAGAAATGATTACATAGCTAGCAAATATATTCCCACATATCTGTAGGTTGCTTCAATTTTCTTAGTGTTAGGAATTGTCTTTCATTAGTAACTCTTTGGAGCTGAACAGTATGGGATAGTGAAGACTCCAAGTGGAGGAGGAACCTGTGGGGACAGATTAAAATAATTTTACCTTTACAGGACTTTGGAAGTTGAAAAACAGGGCCCTGGGTAGAGAGCCAAAATTATCTTCAGTCCCCTGGATGGAGAGAAATTGCCAACATCTAGAAAGAAGCAATTTGCATTTTAAGGTGTATCCAATGATCTGAGAGATAGCAAGCAACACACCCAGTGAATAATAACTTCATCTGCTGCAAGCTTTTCTTAACATCTCTATTTAGTGCTTGAATGCACCCTTCTATTTTATTCTCCTATCTCCTACTCTCCCAGAGTACCGAGCACTACACAATATCGCAAGTTATCATTTCTAAGGCGAACAACATCTAATGCTTATCATGGGTGGTAGGTGTGTAGACTAACTCTAAGGAAAGCTATATTTCCACATCCCACTTTTTTGCCATTTCACAGTGAAAATGTAAATTGCAGAGCCCTCTGCGCTCAGATTGTCGCTGGGTCCCCTGCAGTTACAGAAATAATGCTCTTATCATCAGAAGGTCAGAGCTTCTTACCTGGAGGACCAGGGGGAGCACAGCTCCTGCTTCCCAAATTGGATCCTTTTCTTACGCAGTTGCATCTTCTTTGCCTCAGGGCACCTTCCTGATACTCATTTATTTCAAAGCTTCATTATCCAGAAAAGAGAAATTGTGATTGTCTCTGCTTCTCTGAAACTATAACATTTCACAAGAACTGAGTCTATGTCAAGCTAGCTCATTTTTTTGGCCATTAGGTAACCGATTTATTCGGTATAAGTGGTACAGGACGTTTCTCAGAGATACTCTTCAGAAAGTTGTCATCCGAGCTTCAGAGGGCGTTTCTGTGTACCAGCCCCACTGCCTGCGAGGGCTCATTTTATGTGTCAACTTGGCTAGGTCATGGTACACAGGTACTTAGATGCTGCCACATAAAGGTATTTTTAAGATCAAATTAACATTTAAATCAGTGGAGTGTGAGGAAAACAGACTATCCTCCATTACCCACTCTGCAATGTGGACCCCAGAGAAGAGGTCATTCTGCCTTCAGACTGGAGAAGCAACCAACACCTTTTCCTCCACCATCCTTTCCATCAATCCTTCCTCCCTCCACACATGTAGATAAACACGTGTCTATGTATATTTTTAACATATGTGTACATATTTACACACATATGCATATCTATAGGGTGTCCCCAAAATGTATGTACACACTTTGAATAAGTATAAAGGCAGTGTTTATTAAAATACATTTCATTTTCAAAACTGAGCTATCAGCTGTTAAAGCGTGTATACATTTTGGGGGGACACACTGCATATAAATCATGGAACACACATACATCCTACTGGTTCTATTTTTCTTTACAACTCTGACTAATCTACCACCCCTCTATATAATTGCTTTAGTACATTTCAAGAAGCTTAAATATATTTCCTAAGATGACTTTAATATTCCCCTCATCTTGACAACTTATACACAGGATTCTTCTAAGCTCCCTTATCTAGAACATTTATGTTAGAAAACTTGTAACTAGACATTCCTTTTCTGCTCCTTTGAGATACACATCTTTTAAAAAGCCTCTCGCCAGTGTTACCTCCCATCTCTTGGAATGTCGACATCAAGAGAGCACCCCTACCCGCCCCAGTCCCTGTGACAATGTATGAGCCTAATTTTGACATGTGCTTTTGCTCTTGGTTGCAAAGCTACCTTCTGTCACAAAGATCGCAAGAGCTGACTTTTCCTTTGGGTAAACTCAGTTCCCAGAAGTCGATGGGCTGTGCTCTCCCTCACACTCCTACCCTTCGTCTCGGTGAGGTCGGGCTCAGATTGAGTGTGACTCTCTCCCCTACCACAGCGGCTTGGACTCTAGTCTTCCTTGCCAGGGCCTGCCCAACTCGCTCCGGCAATATGAAGAGGCTACTCTTTCCTAAAATTGATAGTGAAGTTGCTAATAATTGGCCAGAATTCTCAAACAATAAGGGTTTTCATGATATGTCTAGGTCTGTTTAGTCATTCAGAAATTGGGTACCTGCCTGAGAATGAACATGAAGTTTCTTATTAGAAGCATACGCTGCACGGAAGAAATAAATAATAAATGCAACTCTAGAAGTTAAAACACACAGTTTTGAGTAAATTGGTGAACCCAGAGAAAGCCTGGCAGCCATATGGAGTGAATGTCAGTTGTGTCTGTTTGTACTGACCTTCCTCGATTCACCTGCTTATTGTAGTTCCATTTCTGTGGCACGGCTTTCTTCTCCTCACTCCTCTGGTCCAAACTTCTCAGCTCCCCACTGTGAGCGAAGATCAAAACCAGAATCTCTTAGCCAGGTATCCAAAGTTCAACATCGTCTTAATCTCGATTCGAAACTATATAATTCTGGAAAAAGAGGGCTAAAGTAGTTTTCTGATGTTGGAAGACACGGTTTTGTTTGTGAACGCCTAATAGCAGACCTTTTAAGGTTTGTTTTCCTCTTGGGATAATCTAATTACCTAGAGATAAATGTTTTCTCTGTTGAATTGAAGCCTCACAATTAAATAGTTGTGAATTATAGACTAGATCCCTCCTCATATTGGAAATAATGAAACACAAATCACAGTGCAAGCTCCTCCTCACTTTCCCCCTCTTAATCCTATTAGGGTGGCCAGGGCACCCCATCTGGACCACAAGGTCTGTTTGTCTTGCTTTGAACTGAAAATCAGCCTTCTAAAGAACGTCCTTTCCTGGGATGATATGTAGTCTTCCTACGCACAACAATGTGCCCGTCATTGAGTCACAACCTCCTAGAATTTGTCCAAATGGGCAGAGGCGTCAAGCTCCCAACCCCCCACTAGACCTGGCCCCCCTCATAGGACTGATGCTTCTCAAATGATTTACTCAGGAGCTAGACGTAGGCTCAGGTCAGATCAGCGCATTTCCCTTGTTGAACACGTGAGTTACATGTGCTCAGCACAAGGCAGCGTCCAACACCAGCCTCAAGTGGGTCAATGTTTACACACCAGAGAACTCCGCTGAGTCCACTTCCAGAGCTTTTATTAAATCGCTGGACATGAGATTGAACGCAATCTGCAGGTGCCCTCTCTTCCCAGAGGTCAGGCTGGCCCAAAGTTCCATCCCTGTAGCCCAGGGGTGGGCAAACTTTTTGACTCGAGGGCCACAATGGGTTCTTAAACTGGACCAGAGGGCCAGAACAAAAGCATGGATGGAGGGTTTGTGTGAACTAATATAAATTCAAAGTAAACATCATTACATAAAAGGGAATTAATTTTATTCATTTCAAACGGGCCGGATCCGGCCCGCGGGCCGTAGTTTGCCCACGGCTGCACTAGACACTGGCTAGAAAACAAGTGAATTGGAGATTCTTGCATTCCTGGTATGTTGCGATGCACAATCTGTGAGGTATCTGGCATTACTGGCACAAACTGTGGTAGATGCTTAAGAAATGTGTGAGGCCAAAGGCCAGGAAGAACACGCAGGTGGGGGTGACATTGCGGTTGCTCTCACGGCTGTGGTTTCTGCTGGCCCCTGAAGGATGAGCGGGATTTCCAAGGGAAGGAAGTGCCGGGAAGTAAAAGGGAGACTCCGGTGAATGTGGAGGTGCCGGAGGGAGTGGGTGTTGAGTCAGTTCCTCTTTTCATTATGTGCAGATGTGGAGAAATTGGGTAAATGTAAAGGGAGATGTAAACTAGTGAATGCAACTGTTCATTGTCCTGTAAATGTTGGCCAGTTTAGCATTTGCTTGTAAATTCATTCCAGCATTCCTGATGGCCTATCTGGAACCAATGGGACATTTTGCTGGCTTGCTATTTAATGTGTTATATAAAATCTACGGCATGCATTATTTGTATATTTGTATGGAAGTCATGATTTTTCACTTTAAAAAAGCATTTACCACCACCCAAAACAAATGCTAGACAACTTACAGAAGCACTGTTGGTCATACATGGGTAAGAAAGGGTGAGGTGTGGGTCTGCACCCCTGCTCCGTCCTCCTCGGGCACAATTCAGGCTGTCTTGTCCTCCCGCAGGCACGCTGATGGAATTTACTAGCTGGAAGATAAATGAGGGACTTCTGGGGCTGCTGTATCCTGATTTCTTACCGAAGAAACCCTTTTAGTATGCGCTGCCTGGCGTGTCTGGGTTGTATATTGTAAATAAGCCTCCTGTGAGGATGGGCCGGGGATGGGAGTTATCACTTCATCCCTCTTGAACCCAAAAGGCCTCCTTGGTGTAGAAAACAAGGTGACCTATGGAGCTGCATCTAGAAAGGGGCGCAGTAATGACTGCTGGTGACACTGTGTCGGAGCATTTTAGAACGTATTCTCTCATCCGATACTCTTGGAGGTGTAACTCTGTGGTCACAGTCTATTTGACTAACAATCCACAAGTGATAAATGTGCAGGTAGTTTAGAGCTCAATACAGTTAGAGGTTAACCAGGAAATATCGATAATTTAATTTATTGGCCTTTAGACAGCCAGTCTTATACATAATTTAGCAATCTTATTTAGACATTTCTTTCTTGACTAACCAATCCCCTTGTTTCTCAACTGTGCTGTAAGTGAGCTCCCTTCTATTCCTGATGGTTTCCTCACGGAGTTTAATAAAATTGTGAGAACTGTGCTTTATATTCTCTTATCAGGACCAAGAAAAAAGGCATTCTAATAATACTGTCATGGAAATAGAGGTCACATATTTCATTGTATACCCTTAAATATTATTTGAATTTCAGTATTTTAATTTCTAAGTGCAATCATTTTTCAATTGAAAAGGTTAACAAGTCAAATATTTTTGTAGGTATCAACAAATTCAAGATTTACCCCAAACAACTCAGATTATGGGTAAGGCCATGGTGAGCTTTTTGTCCTTCTTACTTCTGGTCATGGTGGAAAGGAACATTTATTTTTCAAAGGCTCCCTGTATCCATTATGTCAGACCAACAGCAATATTCACCTTCACAAAACTCTATGTCCTTGTGGGGGTCAACATCACAATGGGCCTATATTTTATGAAGGAAAAAACCCTGTAGTTTTTCTTAGATGGGAGAGTTGAAAAAAATGTAGAAGTAAATTACTCTCCAAAATTAATATAAAATGGTATTTTTTAATATAAAATGGTATTTTGTAGAAAAAAAGGTTTGCTTTTTCTTTTTAATTTCAAATATTTTAAAAACATATCTCCCTGTTACAGTATGGGCTCTGTCCTTTTGTTCTATATTTATGGGTTCTGAATTATTTTTAATGCCTGTAATAGTTCCAATTTCCAGTCCTTCATGTAAGAAGCTTAGAAGTCATTACTACATCCTAACCATAAATCAAAAAGTCAATAACTCATCTTAGATCTGTCAGAGATGTGAGGTCACAGGGCAAACTACTCCACCAAACCTGGAGACACAGACAGGTAAATTAAGAGACTCAAACCTGACAAGAGCAGGAACCTATGCTGGAACCAGTGCTGGCTTCCCTTTCCCAGCACATCATGTCCAGATACGGAGAAAAGCTTCAGGGAATACTCAGAGGTAAAACACTGTTAGAAGAGCGCATCCGAACCAGACGCAGATACGTCAGGGATGTTGGAATTATCAGACCGGAATGTAAAACAACTATAATTAATCTGCTAAGGGCACTAAACCACAGATCCAGGAAGTGCAGGGAACTCAAAGAATAAATGTTAAAA